TCTCAGTACAGATCACAAAGGCATATTGTACAAGGCTTAAAGTTGGTAACTTATCTTGAAAAAGGTAATTCCTACACCAGCTGCCAATCAAATTCTTGTACGTCCCAAATGGCAGGTGTTTTTTTATGTACATACTAAAACTGCTATGGGCGTCGCCAGCATTTTTTTTAAGGGGGGGGGGGGGCAAAGCACATGTTTTTTTCCCCAAAATCCCTATAATTTCCAGTATTTTCCCGATTCATCTTTTTTTAAGGGTGGACAGGGACATTTGCCTCCCCCAACCCATTAAATTAACAGCAATATGACTTCGCGCCATTTTTGTTGTTGTTGTTTGTCAGAGAGGGGGGGGGGAGCGCCCTCCCTGCCCCCCTCCCCCCCCCCCCCCCCTCGCGACGCCCATGATAACTGCCTTTAAAACACCTGTGGATACCGCGTGTCCGAAGATAAGGGACTGAACAAAATATTTAAAAAAATAACACAAAACGTTGTACAACTGAAAACTGTAAAATAAACACCTCATTTTTTCAAACCTGATATATACAATTTCCCCTAAACCATACTGAAGAAATTTGAGCTAAAAGGAAGCTGAATTCCATTCCACGGCTCGTGTGGCTTTTAGCTCGGAATGACGCAATTGTCGCAAGGTGTATTGCTTAGGGACACGATCCTTATCATTCCCTGACAGAGTTCGATTTCATCACCCCAAAGACTCCGTTATTGCATACAGGAGTCAATACAATTTCACGAGGAAGCCATTTCCGATCGTGTTCCCTGAATATATTGCGTGAATTGTGAACTGTTCGATGGGCTGGTGCCAGACTATTTTATGATTGGAGTGTGTTCCGAGCCTCACTTTCAGGTTTTTTTTAAATGTAGCTTAAACTTTAGGGTATGTTAATAACAAATTATAAAATTATTTATCAGAGCAGACTGGTATTAATGTGTAATGAACGTTTATTTCATTGCTTTCATTTCCACTTGCAAGTTCCAAAATTGAAGGGCTAACCTCGCTTTCAGCTTAATATGGCCGACTCGTGAATGAAGTCTATTAAATACGGACTCATAACAATCGTACTGCGCATGTCTCAGTGCATGGAACAAAAATCACAGGCACGTGTGAGGTTGCGAGTCCATTATAGATCAAATTTAACAGGGGTCCGAATTCTATCTGACACCGATTCTGAAACGACCCTACGGACCATACCGATTCACCATGAAATATGTTTCATAAAATAGTCGTGAATAATTACATTGTTGAATATTTAACAGGTGAAACAGGTATCGTTGACCCCAACACACAACGCATGTGCCCAACAATAACTTATGCGTCTCGGGTGTTCATGTAAGAGCCGCTGTGCTTATACTCATTCATTGCTTGCAAACAACGGTCTGCCCAGTTGCTATTTTCTGAATTATTTAACCCAAAAAGGGCCTGGCGGAATCCGCCCCCCCCCCCCTTAACTTTTTACGCGATAGCCTTGATTTTTTTTTCGCAATCCGAGCTGTTATGACTTTTTAGCCTCGAGCCTTGCACATCTTTTGATACCAAAAACATAAACATCGGAGCACGGGTTGCCGTGCAGCGAAAAATTTTCCGGCGCTAAGCGCCGCTTTCCCATATACGTCGTGTACACAGACCACAATGACCATTCGTAAATATGAATAATTAATTAGCCATAATTCTAAGACACTTTTACCTCTTGTCATGAGATTTCTTGGGTATGTTTATGTGGAGTTGCTCTATGCATGTACCGAGTTTCAAATGTTTTTGTCACTCGATGGCCGAGATCTGGGGGGGGGGGGGGGAATCCGCCCCTCCCCCCCTCCCCCCCCCCCCCCCCCCCCCCCTCCTCCCGGCAGAGAGATGGTCAAAATAACCCGGCCCTTTTAGGGTTAAGTCTGTTTAATAAGCCATGGTTACTTGCTAAAATACTCTATCCCCTTCGAATTTAATATCAAACGGAGGCTGAACGTTTCACTACGCCTTTCCCTCACAAAAGTAATGAATGTCTGCATCAATGTTGCCCCTGTTTCATGTAATTTCCTTCCACACAATTTGCACGTTACAAATAAGCAAACACATAAAATACAAAAATTATACACGCCGTAAACCCAAACGTAACAATGAATATACAAAATCTTCATTTAGCTATTAATATCTTAATTAACTAATATTTTGTGCACAATATGAACAAAGTGAATACTGTACCGCCATCATTGTAATGTTACACTTGGTCGATGCTTATGCTTACATTAACAATAAAGTACAGTATTTACATTTCAACCAATTATTCATTATTTAGTGGTTTATATATTTTTATTTTTATCTGTTTATTTCTTTTTACATAAAACACTGTATTGCACAATTGCTGTGTGCGTATAATAGCAGTGTTATACCATGGTACTATTTACAGAGAATTTATAATTTGTCCAGACCACATCACATTTCCACACACTGTCAATCACAGACGCCGGGTGTAGCAACTTAATTACGACGATGTCTTTATTCTCGACAAGTGCCAACACGAAAGGACGAAACTGGGACGGAAGAGTAAACAAATTTTTTGGGGGGTCCGACACGTACATAATAATTGTCCATGAATCGACATTAAAGTTACACTGTATCGTGGGTGAAAGTGCATTTCCCCCACATTTACACTGTGGATGTTACCGTGCAACGTATTCATCATTAGGAGGCGGCAAACCTCGTGGAGCTATAGAAGGGAAAATTAATATTCTTCCGATTATAATTATTCTGTCTCGCAGGTGCGTCAGAGGGTTCGTTATCAATCACCCTCTCAATTTTAGAAAATCTCGTTTGTATTGATCCCAAAGGCACATTTTTATGTTGATTATTATTATTATTATTATACGACTAAATGTACCATTAAGTAGACACGGTATCGTAATTTTTTCGAACGGCGGGAGACATCAGTCATTCGAGAGATATTTTAATGTCTCCCTAATGTTTGAGTATGAAAAATGTTATGCACAAGTCTATGGGGATGTCTCCAAAATGTCCAATTCAGGGTAATGATAATAATAATTTATATTACAGATGATAAAGTCACTAATGGAAAGATGTCAATGAATGGCTCAGGGGAAGGACAGTGTGGTGAACAATGTCCTGTTACCCAAAGAACAGTACATAATTGGATTAGATTCATGGAATGAGCCTGTATAGGACAATGTGTCACTGATTACTTTTTTTTTCGCATGGAGTAACAGCGCATAATTTTAAATTCACTTCGGTATCTCTCAATCCGAAATCTTACTATAGAAAATATTATGTTCGTGAGAAGGTTGATATTAGATAGGGGAAATATTTGCGGGAATTATGCTTTTGATGATACACGCATGGCATTTGGCACACAGTCAGAGTATGTCTTAGGAAAGATATTTGGCTACAAGAGTCATCGCAGATTTGTCCTGTGAAAAACTACAGGTAAACATAACAAGCAACGGCGGCCATTTTCAAAATGGCTGCGACTGCTTGTTAGCCCTGTAGCCAAATCTTGAGTCACTACAAACTTATCGAATGAAGATACAACTTGTGTTATTCCCTGTTTTAAATACCACGTTGCATTTGTTTACGAAGTGGTGGATATTGTGGTCACGTGGTTCAGCATAAGGTTCTTTTTTAGCACTGCTTGTGTAATTTTTGAAATGTGGTTGGTGTAAAAGTGGTGACATAATTGTTTAATGTGGGCAAAATAACGTAAAATATGCTTAAATGTCTGGCTTGCCAGTCGGTAGCCCGGTGGTTGCCCGATGGTGTGACGTTACAGGACACATATTGTTGCTCCAACCTGGACAGAACTGAACACACTCTGCAGCCCATGGCGACATGGGCCAAGTTTGGTTTGTTGCCATGTATCAAGATGAAGATGAAGATGAAGTGAAGGTGAAGATGAAGTGAGGATGAAGGTGAAGATGAAGGTGAAGGTAAAGATTAAGGTGAAGATGAAGATGCTCCTATGTGAGAATCTAGTCGTGCATTTTTAATTGGATCAAATATAACACCTGTACTTCCTATTTCCCAACGCCTTAGTTGTGCTCTCAAACAGAATGGCGTTTGAGATACTGTCAAACAACATCGCTTTAATTCACATGATGGTCTTCCTTTACCAAAAGATGCAAGCTGCATATGCCGCAAAACAGTCATCGAATGGGTTCTTTGCACTGCCTAACATGATATACCTCCCAGTTGCATCTATCCACAGCATCAAGTGTTCTATATGCTCGCGTGGATGCAGCTGCACACCTTTAGCAATATTCAAAACAGTTATGTGTTTTTGGAACAAATCCAGCCACCCAAACTGAACGCAGGTGATCAAACATGCCATCAACGCCCGACTGATGTTCCATGTTTCTTTTACAAATAGCACCTGCGTAGTTCCTAAGCCACAGTATCATCGTTAATGAGTTTTTTTTTAAAGATCTGTATATTATTAAATTACGAACAAAAGTATTTATCAACCAATATGTACAACGAAGTTTACCAGCGAACCTTTTAAAAATCGGGTAAACATATAGGCCTATAAATGAATTAATTAATGTATTTACAACACATCGTTTTCCTTGACACCGAATGGGAGTCAGGTTAACGTAGCAGTATTTCCTCGCCTTCCATCGTTGTTACCTGGGTTCGAATCCCGCCTGGGTCAATATGTGGATTTGGCTTTTCAGTCCCTACCTGATTCCGTGGGTTTTCCCCAGGAAATTTTCTGGGCTTTTCCTCCCACCTCTAAAACTGTATTTTCTTCTCATTGTCTTAATTCTCTCTAAGTTGGTGTGATGTTTCTCCTGGGATGCTTTACCGACTATAATGACACTGATACAGATACAGATACAGACACGTTTGAGCTGAAAATCAGATCCGCAAAAGGCCAACGCATGGATCTCTCGCGTTTCACACATTGTCACATTCAATACAAATCCTCTCTTTGCAGCCAAAGCGCTCTCCTGTTTCTGTCTCTCACTCATTTTGCCTACTTCCCTTTCGCCGCTCGACCTCACACGCGCACACACACACCTTGCCCTATACAAGCAAACTCACCGCCCGGGTACGGACGGCGATGGGTGCAGCGAGAGGAAAGCAAAAATCGATGGCCGGCACTCACATAGGAAGTTCCTTGCTCTCGATGTTGGACAAAGATCGAATCTACTTTTTGATTGAACGGCCCGGGGTAACGGGGCTCCGAATCGTGCCCTCGCAAGGACTACACACAAGACTTCTGATTCACACCACTTTAGATGCTAGCATGATTATTTCTTTCCCCTATGGCGAAGGGACGAAAACAAGACGGAAGTCCATGCAATTGAGATCACTGGTCGACAGGTCTTGACACCGATATCGGAGGATTATATACACTTATCCAGTTACTGACAGGTGAATCTGTTTTGCGCTTCGTGCTGTATTGAATCTCCTTTAGGTACGATTTAAGGTCCTGAGATTAACATCGTTGATTCCTCAGCAGTGAGGCAAAGCGGTGCCTGCTAGTGCAGTGCTAGTTTTTGCGACAAGACTTTTCTTAACTCAGTCTATTGTCCTGTGGACAACAAATATTGTTCTGGATGAAGAACCTTACAATATACTAGATCACGGCCTTATAAGCTAAGTTGCTCATTAGTTACTTAGCTAATGGTGGGCATAGCAATAGACCTAAGAAATAATGACTTCACGTTTTGTGTACATGTGCGCTATTCATCTAGAAGCCAGTTGCGGACGAGAGCCACTTGTCCCACCTTGCTCCCATAGGAAAGTGCACATATAAACAAAGCGTGGCGTCATCATGTCTCAGATCTATTGAAACCTAAGTAATGGCAGTTTTCAATCTTATGCCGAGCTAAATTGAACCCCGCGCTATTGAGCAACATAGGTACGGCCGCTAACACAATGACTGTCTTTTAAAGGCTAATTATGCCTGCAATAAATCTGAACCAGCCTCGAAATTATTACTGTTACTTCTTTTTTTTTATTAGACCGTATGCGTTGCTGGCGTCATTTTAATTGAATAAACATGAATGCACTAAAGGTTTACTCATGTCTATCCACGCAATACAAAACCATTGCTTCTAACTCCGCCTTATCACATAAGGTCTGTGCAACGCTGAAAGTCGTTGGATTGCGTTTTTTTATATCAAGGAACGCTGTCAGTTAAGGTAATATAATGTACAACGCCCATACAGCTCAATGTAAGCCTTGGTTTCAGCAACAAATATTTGATATAACCTATGTTAGTATTTTCAGCCGCTGCGTCCCGATGGAGTACTGCTCGATGGTGCAGAGGGCTCCCGCCTTACAGCCAGTCGGGAGATGTTGGTGGAATGTGACCTCGCTAGGCTGGATCGGATGGAGCTCCTCAGTCCGTGCGAGTTGGACATCAGCGGGTACCAGTAACGCCGTCCGGACTTGTTGCGGTTACGCCGGGGACTCCTCCGCATCACCCGGCAGGATTCGGGTATCTGACGCACGAACTTCCGGAAGTTGGCGTTGAAGACGATGTAGATGAGCGTGTTGAACATGCTGTTGCTCATGGCCAGCGCCTCCACGATGTAATAGGCGTTCTCGAAGGTGCCGAAGAGGGGCAGGGCCTCTGAAGGGTAGACAAAGTCCCGGATGATGGTGAAGGCGTAGAAAGGTGCCCAGCAGAGCGCGAACAGCGCCACCACGATGATCAGCATGCGCAGCGTCTTCCGCTTGGACGACTCGGCGGCCAGCTCCTGTTGGACGGTCACGTGACCCCCGGGAACCTCCCTGAACCACAGCTTCTTGGCGATGATGACGTAGGCAATGGACATGACGGTCAGCGGCATTAGGAATTCCACAATGGCCAAGAAGAGAGTGTGGGCCTTCATCAGGGTCAGGTTTTTCCAGTAGTCACCGCAGCGCCTGGCCGATTCGCCCCACTCGTTGGTGATCGCGTGGGTGTTGGTGAAGACTGCAGACGGAATGACGACTATCATGGAGACTAGCCATATGCAAACCAGGACCACGCTGGCTGTGCATTTGGTCATGCGCGGTTTCAGAGGGTGCATGATAATCACGTATCTGGTACAAAAACAATCAATGGAAAACAATGTTAGACTAAACAAAGCAGAAATCTTCATCGAGTGATGAATATCAGTTTCAAGCTCTATCCAGACAGCGAATATAGCTTGAATTTCACTTCTGACCATTTACCACCTTGGACAGCGCCTGAAGCAAAGTGTATAGCTGCGCAACGTCTCAATCAAGAACCAAATACCAATGTAAAGATGTTTGCAAATTGTATTGACAAACTCAAGGGAACAGGTTTGATTTCTGTCTAGTGACAACCTCAATTAAAGAGAAACCAAAGCACCCGGATAGGTAGAAAGTGTTTTCAGTCAATGGTCTTAGTTAGTTGACATGCATTAACAAGTAGCCTACAAAGGCGGGTAGTCTATGCGACAATGAAACAGTCTATGCGACAATGTGACAGGAAACAAAAATGCTCTTTCCCCAGTTAACAGTTATGTTCATGACGCATCCCCACGGCATTGGCTGTTTTAAGGTAATGGGAATAAGTTGCTTTTTGAGCATTTTTCGTTTGAAGCGACAGAATTGCTCAAAATCGTGAGATGGTGCATATTAACGACGAATTTGATACGTCTCAGCTCAGTGGACAATATCCATTTGGAGAGTATGAAGAAAACGTATGCAGAATGTTTGGGGTCTCGTAACTGGATTCCGTTGCTAATGCACGATTTCGTTTTCTTCAACCACCTTCAATGACTGTTTCTCCCGAATGATATAATTTCAGGCGGATAATTTCACAGGGTATTTGGCACCAGTCCTATCTTCACTTTGAGCAAGGATTTTCTCGTGAAATTGGTAGATACGTTTTCGGGAAATTGCAAATGTTCCTTCGTATTGTAACTGAGCACTGGTTGCGTCACTTTGACTCAATTATCACAAACGCGTCTCGAATTCCGTTGTTCATTACCCACACCCGGCCTGTTTCAACAGAAGATCAAATTCCGTGTTCATGAAAAGTGACATGAACACAAATCTGCCACGGTTTTAGGTTCTCGACTGAATTAGTATTGTAGGAAGCTACCCATCTCAAGATGAGTCGTTTTTTGATGCAGCTCTCACCATTAACGTTCATCGCTGCTTGATCGATGGCCGTTACAAACTCAACAAAACTGCTTGCTGTGCAAAGCGAGCTTCATATTACCGGTTAGATTTCGATTATCTGTACTAATGGATAACAGGAACATGCGTATTTCTTATCATTTATTTCAAGCAATACGAACATAGATTGCTAAACTGTTCGAAATCAATGGCCAGCGTTTTACTCCCCATATACATACCAACATCTATTTTTAATCGGTCTTTTTGCATCAGAATTACACATATTTTTAACAAGACATTTCTGTCTTTATAATTTTTGTTCAGCCCTGAACGATGTCAACATGAAGTTGTTTGTACGGATACCAAAACCGTGTCACATTTACTCACTATTAAGAGTAAAATAACCATTGATCTTGTACCGACGTATATTGGAACGTTTGTGTATAAAATATTGCACGCGGTACTTGAAATACAACAGTCGCTTGCAAGTTCTTCGCGAATCGGCCCAGCACTGTAAAATGTAACTCTTTTTCTTGTTTACTATTTTGATAGTTGGCTCCGAGGCCTATAAGGTTTAGCAATATAAGGTTTTGCTGCGAAGAAAAGTGGTGTCTTTTGGGGTACACTTAAATTGTTTCTAGATAATCTTATAGCAGATTGAAGTTTATCTCAATATGTCTAATGCACCGAGAACTCTATTAAATCCACATGTTTTTTCCATTATTGAAAATGCAACTATTATAGTGTTGTTTGTCTCAATATGTTATTCTATTTTAGTCCTGTTTTTCTCAATGATTATGTCTAATGCACTGATAACTCTAAATTCACATCTTTTATCCATCGCTGAAAATGCAACTACAAATAGTCTTGTGGCGGAAGAAGTGGACGTAAATAAGCAATATCGATAGATTATCAACTTCATTGAACTTACGTTACTCAATCCATTAAATTAACGTACAAAATTGCAAGCACTTAGTTCGAAAGGGTCTATGTAATCTTAAACTATTCTGTTCTTTCTGATCGGTGGCCAGTTGTTGAGTAATTTTTTTTCCGAAAGTTACGAACCTTTTCCCAATAACGAAAACTAGACTAACAACCCGCCGACGGCAATAGGGGCTCGTTTGCGCAGCCAATTCGATCCAAGGACGATTCCGCACGGGACTTTAACCCGGAACCCAATTCTCTAGTGACATTTTTTTGCTAGAACGTTTCGTCAGTAGTTAGGCGTATCCAGAATGTCTCCCTGTACGCCCTAGCATCTGCGCTTCCAGGATTGATTGATAACACTTTCCCGTCGTATTTCCAAATTAACGAATCCGGCATGCACAGGTGCGTGGCCAAGGACAGCGAGTTAAACTGTCATTGGGAATAGCTTTAAAACTGTCAGGTTTACGACTTTTAAAGGTATGATACTTGTAAAACATGGGGAAATGCCAAAATGTATAAAAACAAAACTGGAAGGAAATTCTTGTTAGATTGTGAGCAACATTATAGTCTTGCCAAAATTGCATTTCTAGGAACACAGTAAAATGTAAGTTCTCATGAAAAGAGGACTGCCAATGACAATTTGTTTTAAACAAAATCTTAATATGTTATTCTATTGTTTTTTTTAAAGTTCCCTTGGTACCATAGTCATCAGTCAACATTTGCTCAGAGGCAACTTAGAGCCGTCTCTGATAGAGTGGCGTCGAGGGGCAGCTTGTGCTCAGCAAGACCGAAGGCGAAATTCATAGCTACTCTACACCTGCCTTTATCCAACAGATTTAGTAGACGGAATGACCTTAAACTGCAATCCAAGTTCAACTTGGTATGTGAATATGTTATGCTTAATGCTTGCAATTAGTTGGATACATTAGCTGCTGGAAACGTGCTTATTGGTAACAATGAGGACTGGTACGTACTTATTCCGTCTGACTTGCCTGCTAGGAGAACTAGGGATAATGTGTTCGCCGGAAACTGTAATTACGACTGCACTTATGGGTGAATTTGAATGGATTTAGCCTGGAGCAACACAGTGTTTTAGTACAATGTAAAGCATTAATCGGATTATGCCTCCTTATTAGTAGTGTGCGACATTTGCTCTGGATTTGCTCTTAAGGCGAATGCATTGTGCAAATACCAAAGCGAGCTTTGGGGCGTCCTAGTTATTGTGGAATTAAGCCATCATACCTATTCCATTCAGTTCTGCTGTATCACGTCAATCGGAAGTCATACAATCTCCATAAATGCAACAAGCTTGTCAAAATAAACAAACAACTGCGTTGCTTTGTTGTATGTATTTCATGACTCGATAAAAAAAAAATTATTGGACTTGGGATAGACCGATCACACCTACTGGTTGGGTAGGACTTGAGATCGGTGGAAGTGTGAGCTTTAAACGCAATCCACTCAAGATTATCAATTTCATCAATGTCAATCATAAATTGAAGGCACAATTTTAATGAAGTAATGACTTACCTATCTATAGCGATAGCGAGAAGGGAGTTGGTCGAAACGTACAGTGATGTGAACTTCAGGTAGTTGGTGATGACGCACATGGCGGTACCAAACGGCCAATGCTGATAGAGATATTGGTAGAAGCTTAGAGGGGCACATATGACGGCCACCAAGAAATCGGACAGGGCCAGGTTACCAATCAACAGGTTGGTGGTGGTACGCATGCGCCTGAAGCGGTAGATGACGTAACAGAGGAGCAAGTTGCCGATGCCGCAGACGCTCATCATGAGGGCGTAGCTGGTACACAAGATAATCTTGGCCGCAATGTGGATATGCGGGTAGGAGATCACCGGTTTGTGTTCGTAGTCTGGCCCGTAGTCATACGGGTCAAACTGGCCCTGTCCATTCCAGTGTCCGCCAGCCTCATTATCCAACGTGATAGACAGGTTCTCATGCTGAGACCCTGTGCTGTTACCCACGTCAGATGTTGGGTCCAGCTCTCCGAAAGGCCCAAACACCATTGTTACAACGCACCAGTTCCCGTGCAAATGCAACTCCAAAATGATTAGCGTGCTTCAGTTGAGTCAGTCTTTAAAGCACATTCGTACTAGACATGGCGACGACAGTATTTCCATATTTAAGCACCACCATGTCAATTTACGTCGTAAATGATCGGAAAATCCCAATGAATGTCGAAAAGCAGGTGTGATCCAGAACAAATTGATTTTTCTCATATGAGTTTTAAGAGAGCGCGGCCCTAGCCGTCTTTATACTCAGTCTCGTTGACTCGATGATCGACTCCTCAGACGAATCGTACTGTTGTTGTCTTCCAAAATGTAAAGCCGAGAGATGGAGAGATGGACGTTATTTTCGCCCGATGGACCTTAGGCTAAACTCCTTGACTGCAAATCCCATCCAACTCAAGAGGGTGTTTCTATCAACGGCAACAATTGGCTGTGTTCCGTCGCCGGAAGGACCAAGAGTGAAACGGAATCTCTCGCTGAGATTATGTGATAAAGTGAAGTGCTATATGATGAATGCCACTAGGAGGGAATCGAAGGGTTACCGGTTCTGATTTAACGTTAATAACCAGGCGGCTTAGCTATCAGGAGAGAGATGTTCCAAGCACGCAACAAGTGCTCCTCCAGCCTCAATCTTTAGAGACCCCGCAGGCAGTTTGACTCGGCTTTCCTCTAAACTTCACAATCAAAGATGCAAAGTCGTTCCATGAAGTTGCCGTAGCAAATAGGCTTCGGCTCTTGGACTAAATTTTGTTTAAAGCCGATTGCTCCGTATTTCTTAGTATAAGCGATAAACGGCAAGTCCGTTTCTCCTCTTGCTGCCGAGACACCAGTCGTCGAATAGGGGATCTGCAAGACTGAAATAATAAGAAAGAGCATTCGTAATGAACCTGAATGAAATGTATATATCCCCCATCACTATAATTTGTGAAGGTTTTGCTTTAGTAATATCCTATGGGTTAAGCCCTTGCTTTTCACGTGTCATTAACCTTTTTCATCATTTGTTTCTTTCGCGTGAAAAACGTGGTTAAGTAACTTAAATTGCCGCGGCGGCGGCGGAGGTCGCAATACAGCGCGCGTGAGGTATGATGCTCAGAATTTCCCGGGTAGCGCTGCCAATATTGCCAAGACTGGATTTGATAAATCTTGTTAATACAGTGATCTCGCTAGTAGTCTCGAACCAGCTTGTATAAGGAGAGTAAAATCCAAGTCCATTCTTGGACGAAGACTAGACCTATCCTGGTCTCGACATCCGTAAAGCACGTGACCGTTATTTCCTAGTCTGAAAGGACTTGTACTATTGTAGGAGGAAACGAGGAAGAACCCTTACGGATGAACTGGACTGAGCACATCTATTGTGCACGTGCCTCGGATACAGAAGTTTCCCTTGCCTCCTTACGACACATTAGCTTCCTGGGATGGCTTAATTAAAACTGCCTGCGTCGCAAAATACGATACAAAACAGAATTGTAAGTTGTGTTGCGAGCAAATGTGGCCCATCATGCCGGCGTGTTACGGGTTTCAGTAGCATGAAACAACCGAGAATAATTGTGTTCCCCTGGACAGGATGCTAGTTCATCGTATGTTACTCCCAGCTAATGCTTGGACCCATTTATACTCCTTGGTAGAGAGAGGCAAATGGGGATGAAGTGGCTTGCCCAAGGACACAACAAAATGGCCAGCGCATTGATTCGGACCCCTGACCCTCTGTTCATGAGCCACAAACCTATAACCACTGGGCCACACTCCTTCAAAGTAACACAATCCTTTCCCTTATATGGCTTAAGAAACAAATGATCGCGCTGTAATCGATGAAAGAAATTTCAAAAGTAAATCTTTGGTCAATTCCAAGCAATAACGGCAAAGGAATTTCAAAGTAACATCGAGAACTGAATAGATCATCCAAAGAAACAAGAAGGCAGAATACCGAATAATAACACATCCTGACAGTGACTGCGTTAACGTACTCTATTGATTCTTGTTAAACACACTACAGCCTGTCTAAAAAAAAAATGGTACAATCGAAAACGATTTTTTTTCAATATTAAATCTCAACATAAGTAAGTCGTTTTGAACATCACATTAAAGAAAAAAGACCAGGCTTTCCAATACTTTTTGTTTCATCTCATTTGCTTTTTTTCAATCCAGAGATAACTCCAGTTTACTGCGGAACACAAAAATCGAGTTTGTTTCTCTTTGCCAAGTTGCAATCTTTTGTGAGCTTCAAGACAGCATGGCACAGTACTCGAAACAACTCTGCCCATGCATAAATGTGGCACAAAATCAATTTTGGTGTATCAAAAGCAAATAAGATCAAACAAACGCTATTGGAGAGCCCAGTCTTTGTTCTTTAATATAATGCCAAGTAAGAATGACTTATTTTGAAATTTCATATTTAACCAATTTTTTTCTCTGATTGTACCATTTTTTTTAGACAGGCTGTACATCAGGTACGCAATAATAATAATTAAAAAAAAACCCACACGCACAGAAAATTGCAATGCTGAATTTGTATATTTCATTAATAAATCATCAACGTGTATTTAAGGACTAAGTACCCAAGGTCGACGCAATTTAACATATCGTTTTGAATTCAGTTTTTGTAATGCGACAGGGATGTTGAATAACACATAGGATTTGTGGCTTAGTGGTTCCTAATCAAATTAGTAATAACAACTGATAGAAAATAACTGCAAGTTAGGCTGATTAGCTATTGCATCTTTTTAAAATAATTTAATTCAAATATTATGCAAACTTATTATTAAAGGTTTATCCAATCACGGTATTCTACGTTGCCCATTCTGCACTTGCAGTGTCAACAGACACAGTATCCTTTAGGGGAAAAATGTAAGTGGACTAGACAAAAATTTTGCTTATACGTGAAATGTGCTAACCATCCATTGTAAAAAGAAATAGGAAATCGAGAAAAACAATGTAGGGAATGTCATTTACCCAACATTGGATGTAATAACATCACTGTCTGATTAATTTGGGTACAAATCCTCCAACTATTGGGGGATTTTGCCCAGGAGTATGTTGACCAACAATAGGCAAAATACCAACCCATTTTCTCAAGTGTTTTTTTTTTAATTTATGTATCTATTTATTATTATTTTTTTTACAGTGAATTGGCGAAGCGTTTTTGATCGGACCAGGGTATCACTCTTAAACATGATAAACAAGGCACGAAATGATACTGAGCTGCTTGTATGGGAACGCTGCGGAGCATGTTAAGTGCCAACACTCTCTGACAAATTCTCTGTAATGCTACCAAAGAATCTACCCTTAACTTTTGACGTGTAATATTTCACGACTCTTGCAGGCTGCCACAACTTTGGCCGCTACGAGTTCTTAATGGACTCTCTGAACAAACAGGTGTCTCAAGAAACCCAAGAGCCTTGATGTGTATGGACACGTCTGGCCTTTCCAGTTCCAGAATCGACAAGGAGCGTCGAGTTCCGGGAATGCGGGGCTATGTCCACGGTTTTGTCTTAACAACTCGCCTCATCTATCTCGAGATAAAAAGGGCACTGCAGGACATTATCTGCGAGGAAACGTGCCCGCTCGAAAAACGCAAACACGACGTCCCCGCTAATAGCCCGCTATTTATTATACATCTTCCGCGGATCTTGGCCATATTAATACCCGAGCTGCATCGCGGAAATGCCTCACTGACACAATAATTCACAATCAGCGGGTATATTTATGCGCATTGTGTGCAAAGCCCGCGAGTTCTGATTATTTCCTGTGTGTGCGAGGGGATATTTCTATTAAAGATGTAACATATTGACGTTTCGATCGCGGCAACTCTTACCCTGTGCTGGCGGAGCGTTACTCCATCAAGAGCCGGCGCGGCACGAGATCGGATGCTGGGTGACACTTCATCGGCTGTGATAAGGTCGATCCATTCACTCAGGTCTACCACAGAGGGGCGATACGAGGGAACGTGGCTTAAAGACGGCAGGTGGTCTGAGGGTGGCGTATTTCACGCAAAATCCCCTCGGATGTACAGGAAGTGTCGGGCTCGGTGTCTACTCAGTCTTTGCTCTCGAGTCGATGGATATGATAATGATGAGTCTTGTCCTTTTCGTCTTCCCCTAATTACTTCTATTAACGTTGGCTGTATCCAGGAACGAATGATTGTGGGTTCCACCTGGCAATACAAACAGAGACAGAAAGTAAAAGACCTGGTACTCAACTATCCACACGAACGAACTATTTTATGATGCGTATTCAATTACCGTTCTAATCCAGCGGAAGGTTGTATGGATTAAAAATACTTATTACAATTTTATGTCCGTCACAGTTCAGAGACATATTTTAAGTTTTAAAGGTATCACTCGGGCAACACTTTGTCGGTACTTGAATCAGTTTATCTTTGGAAGAGCAAAACGCGGAGCGCCTCTTCACACGTGTGCACACCATCATTTACGTTACATTATTAATGTGGACATTCCTTTGTTTTCGTGTAGTTAAGAAAAAACTCTGAAAAAAACTCCCTCGTTTTACTCACACTGTGAAAACACTGTCAACCCATTTTGTGTGTGTCTAAGCTTCCCTTTAGTACTTCTCTTCATTAAGATAAACCTGACCCAACAATGCCTCTAAACCTGTTTTCAAGAGAGGGGGAAACACTGTGTGGACTTGTGTAAGTCCACACAACGTCGCTGTTACCTGATTTATGTGGACCTCTTTTGTTCGGGAGTCCACACAGTGAATGTGATGCTTGTACACGTATGCAATGGTGCATTTTTGTTTCCTGTGGTAATCGCAAAAGGCCACGTGACGCTATCATCAGCAATATATTCAATGAAAGATGAACAACTGTACAGTATTTTTTCGTACCATCAGAAATTATCAAAAAAAAAATTCGAATTTTTAAAAGAAAAGGCACAAACGTTTGTAATTTCGGTGATTATATTTCACCCAAAAAATAATTGGTTCAATATAAATGCAATATGCACTTTTGTAAAAAAAAAAAATTACAACATGTATTTGAAATGCACTGTTTTGCAGGACCTGCACCAGTTCAGATCTAAAAGCCTGCCTGCAATGAAGTGCACTCTCGATTCTTTCATTAGCACTTGAAATAAACAAATTATAAACTTCATAATATAACTCAAGGTTGCGTTGATTGACACGCTAAGGGTATAGAACTTCAGGAAAATACTAACGGTATTTTTTTCCTCAAACAAGCGAAACGTACTTTTTGCAATTATAATCATGGACGGCTTTACTTACTGCAATTACAATTATGGAGCTATCTCGACAATGCGTATAATCCATCAGGTGTACTTTGCAGACATGTATGGGATCGCGTGTCTCGGGACTGAAATTTTTAATAATAATAATTACAATGACGATGATTATTCATCTTCTGGCAACTCATTTCAACAATAGGACTGCACTACTTCAACTGCAATTTTAAATTGCCTACTTTTTAAAGTGCCCATGTCATTCCTTTATTTTTTTTAAGCAATCCTTGAAAATACACCTTTGTATCACATTTTACTTTATTTCCAATTTTCATTTTGCCATTTTCAAGGGTATTTTGGTGCCTTTTTCATTTTAATGTTGATGCGAATTTCCATATTCATGAGCAAAAGTGTGATGACCATTCGGGCAAAAACCTCAATGTTATTGCTATTTCAGCACCAAAAGTTGCCAGAAGTTTGGATATTCGCTGTCGAAATTTTTCTTTTCTTAGATAATTCGTTGTCAGTACACGACAGTAACCCGGTGAGCAAACTTTTCTCATAGATGCTTTCAATGAATACATTGTTGTGTTCACAATTTGAAAAGAAAAACTCTTAACTGAACAGTGTCTTCCTGAAATGACATCACAGCAACAGCGCCCTCAGTTGTCCGGAAAAGCATGGACAATTTGGAATGTTTAAAGAAGTTCACTTTTCAATAATATTAACCTAAAAGGGATATCAAATAGTTTTCCTAAGTTTAAGAGGAGTAGAAAGTTGCACAAAATGTGTTCCGAAGAAATCTTCATTTCGCGGACCCTTTAACAATTTTTTTTTCGTATGTGCTTCATCAACTGCGAGTGTTGAAGTAATTATTATAATTGTATCGTAAGATTTTCATGTATTCTCAATGACTGGGACATCACTTTTCTTGTGTTCATGATAACCAACGAAAATGAAAGGAAAATGTAATGAAAACTCCACACAATGGAATTTAAAAATTGCCAGACGTTAATTACATGATTGTTGCTTACGGCGAAAAAGAGAATGACGTCATGACGTCTAGGAAGCATAGTCCTCAAGGAAATCAGTGATCAGAAAAACACGCAAACATATTTTATTTGCAAAAGTTAGTTTTAAAGAAAAGATTTTAGTTAACAGATTATACCTGAATTTAAAAAAAAACTAAAAAAAATATAATCCCCCTAACAAAAACAAAAAACAAAACGGTGACTCATTGTTTGAAAGCTGCGTTGTTTTGAAGCGTACGGGTGTTGGCGGGTGTTATCCGAAGGAATGATGGGAGTGCATTCACACCAAGCTCAACACATAGACAACAGCTATTAGTCGCATTTTTGTCGCCACGGTTCGCCACGAGGTGTTGATGAGGTCGTTCGCCCGCTGAAAGTTTCACAACACATACAACAGTTTATTAACCTCTGGAAACTACAATGTAAATGACCAAATTCGTCGATTATGTCCATATTTGGTAGGGTGAATGGCCTAACATTACTTTGGAAGGAAAACGTCAAATTGCCTTTTTGGAGGATTAGTTTGAAATGAGAAATTTCGTAAATGTCACTGGTGACATTTTAAATATGATTACACGAGGATCGCACGTGTCGCCTTTTCCCCCAAGGATCAATCAATACAAGTTACATCAAAATCCAAGATGTGGAAACATTAAAAGCAAATTTAAACAATGAACTCTGATGACCCCTTGATGACCTTTGACCTCAATGCTTAACACCAAATCTCAAGACTTCCATAACGTTAATTCTAAGCAACATTGGTATGAGTAATCATGTTTGTATGAAATAATAGCATTTTCACTTTTTTTCATAATGACCTCAAATGACCTTCGATGACATTTGACACTATGCCCTCAACACAACTCTTCAGCAGTCCTTGAATTCTAAACCTTAATTTTCAGCACAATTTCTGAACACTCTTTTTTGGTCGAAAAAGTAGCATTACGTGCATTTTTAACGACCTCAAAATTACGACCCCTATATGACCTTTGACCTCGCAATTCTGAAGAGGTACCACCACCCCACTCCACTCCAGCCAAGTAACATCAGAAGCCATCGAATTAGATAGACAAAGAAACCTTTGAATTGTATTTGAACAATTACTTCTAATGACCCCTACCTGTTATTTGATCTCGACACTTCGAAGAATTGTGTCTTTCCACCCAAGGGGAACTGCATCTCAGTTTAATCAAAATCCATGAAAACTTGCCCAATGTTACGAACTGCCCCCCCCCCCCAAAAGCAAATTAACTTCTGTTAATAATTGCATCATTATTGACCTCATCTGACCTTCAACCTATGACCTTTGACATGAAACACATATCAAATTATCTTATTGACCCCGGTATTCACGTACGTGTAACAGAATTCAGGCAAATAATTTGTAACTTGAAAACTTTTAACACATATACATACGAGAGTACGGGCATACGTTCCACAATTATGGGACTGCTAAAGTCCTTAAATCCCCCAAAGTCCCACAAAATAATGTCCAACCCAATTTTTCCCAAAAATAAACGACACAAATAATAATGTTACTATAATAATATTTTTTTGGCCCAGAGCAGCGTTACTATAATGCCGGATGAAAGTTCGCCTTATTTTGTTTTCCCCGTTTTCAACTCAAAACATGTAGGCCTACGTCAGAAAAATCCATGTGCCCCAGAAGGTCAGAAGGCCAGACCCACGACAAAATTAAAAGTCTGTTTGAATGACCACTGCCTGTCGAAATGTCAAGAAGGTGCCACACTATAGTAGTTTCCACATAGCATGGCTTCAAGGATTTAACTTTGTTTTAATCATGAATCTTGGGGCACGTACGGTATATGATGGCTTTGAATCACACAAATCGCAAGACGAGAGTAGTGTAGTCTAAGCATTTGACCTCGTTTTCCGGTGGAGGATCATGATCCTCATCGAGGATCATATCGGTTACCCCGCCGAGGATCATAGGAGGAGGGGTGGGGTGTGTGTCTGTGACGAGATGACGTCATGGATCGAATGACAAATCGATGAGGTGGGGATTAGCGCTGAATGGGTATTGTTGGTAGAGGATATGCAAACGATTGTCAGGCACTGGAGCGCACTTTTTGTGTATTTTAAGCCCGTACGTATATGATGAGGTAAATAGTGTTAAAAGCGATGTAATGTTTAAACATGTTTTATTGTACAATGTGTATTGCTGGATAGATCTGTCTTTTCCGTCAAAATAAACGTTTCATTCCCTTTTTTTCTTTCTTGTGTTTTGTTCTCGACGGGGCACTGCTGCCATTGAGCAAGCTTAAAGTCATAGTGTACATGCAGACAAACTGAAGAAAAAAAAAATCGTGGTTTTAATAAAGGTAATGTCTAAATGTAAGACCAGAAGACAGACACAGAAAGGTTGTAACTGAAGTTTATATTTATATTTTTTTTTATGTTTGGGTTTGAGTTTCATTTACATTTTTTTTTTGGGGGGGGGGTTGATGTAGTTTGCACGGACACACTAGTTAAATCGCACATAGTCGTTAAAATAGGAAACGTTCCAAAAAGGATCGTTACTTGCAAAAAAAAAATGTTAGTAAAACATTGTTCATAAAATTATTAACCGAGTTTACCAATCTCGTGAAGCTCATTTTAATTAGCCTTTACTTTTTTTTTCTTTAAAAAAGCAAATTACTGTTTTTTGATGATTGATTTTGTCTCTGTTAAGAAAAATATGCTTTATAGTTGGTGCACAAAATGGTCTCACTGACGTATCTTCGTCGTTCGAATGTTTATTGCGAAACCAATAACGTTTCTGTGTCGTTTGGCAAATTGCGCACCAAACAAAACGTCCAGCCGTCGTTTTCGGGTAGACTGTTTTGGCCTGAACCTCAATAGCGTCGTCCCGGAGTACAAAATTACCGAAGATGAATACTTTTTTTGTTGTTAAAATACTCTCAAAATAAGGTTTTCTGTCTTTTCGTGATTGCAGAATCTTGGTTACCCGGTCAATGAAATTTTGGAAAAATCGAACGCTTGTTATTATTGCGGAGGTTGTGACAACCAGCACGATTTTCTTTCTGTTTGCTATTACCACACGATGCATATAAATATATCACGACTGATATTGACGTACATGTACATGTATGTGCAATTTTAAAAAGTCACTTCGATGATCTCTTTTTCGCAAGGGATTTCTGGAAGGGTCGAACTAGACGCGTATTTGTTCGTCAATTCTTGCAAATGATTCGTAGTACTTTAACATACAATTTACCAATAGTATTTATAGATCATCCGTGTAAGTAAAGGCCATAGCATTTATGGGGAAGAAATAATACCGTTCATTAGTATCGGTAGTTGCCGATCGCCGTCGTGTCGCACATCATACACCCACAAAACGGGTCCGAGCTATCACAATGGCCTTTGTATTTGAGTGGGGAAACCCAATGATGTCACAGCGATGAGTCATCGATGGACGACAAACATGATGACCAGTCCACCAGTCCAGACTTGTCCAGTCTTCCACTCCGAATACGCGTGCGGTGTTCTCGAATGTTCCCAAGCACATTCCCAGTGACGTCACAGCGATGAGTCATCGATGGACGACAAACAAGAAGACCAGTCTGGACTTGTCCGATCGTCCAGTCCGAATTCGTGGTGTTTTTACACACTCTATGTGCACAATCGATCGGCGGTGCGAACATTCAACGTCAGCTGAATGTTTGGTGTGCATCGACAAAACGACAAGGTGACCGCACTTTACGTCCGCGTTTTTATCTCATCCAGTCCCGAATCTCCTGAACGATCGCACAAATTCAAGGTAAGTTTATGTCTCATGAGACATTTTTATCACCCGATGTTTATTTTTCTTTCTTCTAAATGAGTTTGCAAAGGTAAGATACATGATGTAGAATCGTTCGGATGATAATTGGTACATATGTTTTATTTCTCTCTCACTGCTTCAGGGTCCACCTCTCATCAGCATGTCCACCACTGTGATCAAAGGAAGAAGCGGAGTTATAGTGCACACTCAAGTGACATAAGACATTTAGGCTCCATAACAAGTCATTCAAGAATCGCATTAAAATTTATTTGTCATTGTTATATATCTTAAATTTTAATCGAATTTATTTCGTTCTTTTGTAAAAGAATTGAGTTGAGTTACATGTACTAGTGCATAGGCCTTTGAGATAAACCACGCCAACGTAAAATCGTTGTGTATCTCGCTAAAGAAAAAGAAAAAAAAAAATCAACAACACTTTAGAATATGGTTTAACACTCAGATTTATATGTATAACTTTTCTGTACCCATGATGTTTTCCAAACGTTTATTGCGCTATTTTAGGGGACTCCACTTATTAAGCTAAATTTGAGAACAAAGACGCGTTTACAACGACAAAAAAATAAATAAATAAATAAATAAGATATAAATGAATATAATACATGAAATAATATCACACGTAGTAATGCATAACATTAAAAACATTTACCAATTCAGATATGTTAAAAATATTTACACATTTTTAACAGCAATCTGAACTTCTTTAATTAGAGTACGAATTGAGTGTACATATGTATTTGTTTTTGTTTACGCTTAATGAAGATGTAGTTGACTCTATAGTGTCAGTGAATATTTCCCTAAGTGCAACGCAGCTAGTGCTCACATACGAACAAAGACTCATTCAAGCTTCAAGATTCTGTGTCTTTTAAAGATTTGTTCTAATTTATTTCTTATATTTGTAGCAAACTTAACAAATTCAGTCGTAAATGTACATACTTTGAGCAGCGATACGTTTCATTACTTGATGCAGATTCATTTTATTTACGATTATAGATCTTTATGAACGTTAATGGAAAGGAGGCCGAATAATAATGCAGGTAACATTTTAGAAAAAGAAAAAAAAAAGTCAACTTCAAAAAAAAGAAACTTTCACTTATCAATGCAAGTACAATATGAATATTTACACACATTATCTTTAACATCAATCTGCAGCTTCTATAATTTATTTATTTGTACATGTACATGTATATGTCTTTTTTTTTTTAATTATTATTAATTTGTTTGGTTTTTTTTTTTTTAAAACGTTCATTTAATAATTCCAATAGCCCCCCCCCCCCGCAGTGAATATCATTGCGGAACTTATTTTGTTCTGCTTTTTAATAAATGAAAACTAATTGGTATCCTTTTTTTTTTTTAAATTAACTACATTGGAAAGCACACTTCTTTCAACTTTTAAAATGTTCCATGTTTTTCCAAAACAACTGAGGGTGCTGTTGCCGTAATGTCATTCAATTAGACACGTTCATATTTATGGGTTTTTTTTTATTGTGAACCCCAAAAATTTGCTCTTTAAAAATATTTGGGAGAACAGTTTGCTCACTGATTTACTGCCATCACGGACCACACACAAATGAATAATAAAAAAAAATTAAAAGTTTACGTCAGTGAAATATCCAGAATTCTGGCAACTTTTTGTGTCTGATATGACATTACTATTTTGTTAATAAAATTGAACTTGGCATTAACATAAAAAAGTATCAAAATTCCCTTGAAAACGGTAAAATGAAATTTAAATTAAGGCTACATGGGACACAAAGGTCCGTTGCAAACCGGACAGTTCAATGTTTGCATTAAAAAAAAAAAAAAAAAAAAAAAAAAAAAAAAACCAAACAAACAAACACCATTTCATGGGCACTTTAACAATAAGTGAAATACATGTGTAAAAGAAGATAGAGTTGACTTGCACAGTGTTTGTAACATATTTTGTCCCCTTAGGGCAACGCAGTTCTCACACGCGAATAAAGACACATTCAGGCTTCGAGATTCTGTCTTTTGAAGATTTATTTTAATTAATTTTACTTATACTTTTATTAACACAAAAGCATTATGACTATTTGCTAAACAATTGAGTGGTAAATGTATACACTACGTATACATGTAATAAAAAAAAAAATAAAAAAAAATCTCAACTTAAAAATCAAAATAAAACGAGTGGACCTTCGTTGATCAGTTCTTCACAGTATTAATCCGTTTTTGTCCAACAAATTTACCTTCGTTTGTGTTTTATTGACGGATTAAACGTCTCCCGCTCTTCATTAATAGTGACATGGGTTTGTACAACGAGTTACAATTTTTCTCTCTTTTTTTTTGTGACTTGATTTTTATGTTTGTTACATTGTAATTTTTTTTAAATTATTTTGTGGAGGATCATGATCCTCATCGAGGATCATATCGGTAACCCCGACGAGGATCATAAAACGAGGTGTGTCTGTGGCGTAGTGACGTCATGGATCGATGGACAAATCGATCGTGAGGATTAGCGCCGAATGCGTATTATAGAGTTCGAAGATAATCCTACATGTATAACAAATAAGGAACACTCTATGATTGCCAACTATCGAGACGCGGTGTGTGAATGTAGACGAAAGAGCATTACCCAATTGCGGATGAAGGTGAAATTTAATAGATACAGTTCTTGACATGCTTTCTTGAATCGAATACTATTATATATATATAAATGTGTACGTATTCATTAAATATATAGTTTGTCGCAAAACAAAACAAACGCAGGGTATTAGAAAACAAGAAATAACATTGAAGTAACCCACAAGACGTACAAGACGCTTCAACACAAGCCGTAACTCAATATCAAACCATAGAAAAGTACACACTGAACAAACACGGCCACGTTAAAACACCAAAGCTTACTTCATAAGGTCCGAATCTAAAATCCGGATGAAAACATTTGATATGTAGCTACTCATTTCAGCTGCTCGGGCTCTTTTGCTCACCCCTTGCTCTTTTAGTGCTCATCTGCTCACGTCTTGCTCTTTTAATGCTCCTTCGTTTCATGTCTTACTTTCTTCTTGTTCGTTTGCTGGTTTTTTTTTTCTTGCTCTTTTCTTACTCTTTCGCTCTATTGCTCTTTTTTTTGCTCTTTTGCTCTTTTCTTGCTCTTTTCTTGCTCCTTTCTTGCTCTTTTCTTGCTCCTTTCTTGCTCTTTTGCTCTTTTCGTGCTCTTTTCTTGCTCTTTTCTTGCTCTTGTCTTGCTCTTTTGCTCTTTCTTGCTCTTTTCTTGCTCCTTTGCTCTTTTCTTGCTCTTTTCTTGCTCTTTTCTTACTCTTTCGCTCTTTTGCTCTTTTCTTGCTCTTTTCTTGCTCCTTTGCTCTTTTCTTGCTCCTTTCTTGCTCTTTTGCTCCTTTCTTGTCTCTTTTGCTCTTTTCTTGCTCTTTTCTTGCTCTTTTGCTCTTTTCTTGCTCTTTTCTTACTCCTGCCTTGCTCTTTTGCTCCTTTCTTGCTCATTTCCGAATTACATTGTTATAAGAGGCACCTTGTTTACCAACGTGAACGCAATCAACTTTTTTTTTTTCCATTTCTTCGTTAATTTAAAAAAAAAAAAAATACTTAAGAGGAAAGAAAAAAGAAATGAAAATTCAATCAAACATTATATTTAAAACGTAGTGTTCTTTTATAAATATGCTGCGCTATTTTTAGATTAAGTTAAAAAAAAAAAGAGTAGGCCTACTTAAAAAAAAAAAAGAAAATTAATATTCAAACAGTATTTCAACGTACCGTTCTTTTATTAGCATAACAATAAATATGCTGCGCTATTTTTAGATTTTGTGGAAAAAAGGAGAGATTTTCGTCATCTGGAAGGTATATAAGTTGAGGATTGTCATCAAGAGGATCAGTTTGAATGTGGACATTGACATCGTCACATCGATCTCGAGTCTCGAGTAAGTGTCCTATTAACTGCAACGTGTACAATAATACATGTACATCTACATTTGTAGAGGAATGGTATGAGTTTTGTCTTTACATTAACAATTTTTTTCCTCATATAACCCAGATACCCTCAAGTTTCAAAATGAGCCATCAGGGAGCCATGAAACCCTTTCCGACAAGCACCCCTCCCAGTGACCAGTTCCTTCGATGCTTGCAGGAGGAGTGGGACATCGATCAAGATGAAGATCAGCTTATGGTAAGTATAAAACAACCGTCTGAAAAACAAATATCACTCAGATACACTGTACATTACTGTGAATTTACAAACCATCTTGTTGAGACTCAAATTTTGTTTTCCTTATTTAGTAATGTAGTTAATAAAATCGAAATGTCTATGTATTCATCGCATTTTATGTTAAAACATGTATATAAAAGTGAACATTATGTACTAACGATCCTGTTTCTTTTTCTCCACACCTGCAGATTGTTGACGTTCCTCCCGAGCCGTCAGCCGCGGTGAAGCAGCAAGGATTGCAGGATGGACGAGGGGGTCAAGAACAAGGCGAAAGGGCAGCCAAAGGTGGACGATACCCATGTGGGACGTGTGGAAAGGTCTTCCGTCAGTTGACCAACCTCATCCGACACCGCAAGCTTCACGAGAGCGGTCCGAGTGTCAACAGGAAGGCCGTGACCTGTCCGGTTTGCAACAAAGTGTTCTCTCGTCCCGACAACTTAAAACGGCATCGCAAGAACCACAGCGCAGATCAGCTGCCGTCCACCACCCGTCAAATTTCGGGTCAAGAGAGTGCAGGGTCGACCATTGCTGAAGCCGGAACTGACTGTAACCCTCCCCAGGCCAAAAGCCCAAGTATTACGAAATCAACCTGTTCAGCCTGCGGAGACGTTTTCCAGAGAGTAAGTCATATGTTGCGTCATCTTCAAAACGACCACCGTGGAGTGTCGGCATCTTATCCAATATCGTTCGAGCCAAACCCCGAACCCAGTCAATTCGTCTCTGAGAACAAAGAAGACCCCGATATGATGGAGGCTGATCCCAATGTCCTTACTTCAACATCACCGACTGGCGTACCACTACCTTCCCCACCACAGGCATCACAGGGGCACATCTGCCCGCTGTGTGACAAGTCTTTCAGTCGACATGACAGCCTAAGGAGACACATCAAAACCTACCACGAAAGCGGTGCAACTCCACCGTCAATACACGAAGAACCGTTATCACATCAAATTTCCCGTCCTGAGTCACCTGAAACTGTTCCCGAAGATCCCCGCGAGTTTCCAGCTGATGATTTCGGCGAAGAAAACTTGCAAGAGGCTGATGATATTCTCAAAGCTCTCCGTCGACACTGGCTGCCCATTCGCACGCATTACACAACCGGCCGCCGCATTCAAGATGTATACAATTTTCGACTGGCTGGAAACTCGACCATAGACGTAGATTTGGCGTTGAGAATGATATTTCAGCGCCTTCGATGCCGAGTAAAGATCAACTT